AGTACTTTAGTGTATAACTTTATAGAATACGGATAATGTTATTTCTCTGTATAATTTTCAATGACTAGTAATTAATCTGTTTAAATATATTTCATAAGTTATATACATCTCTGTAGGGAGAAAAAAGGATTACGCATTATTTTCACAGGCGTTAAACAATAAAAACGGGTGGTTTCCATAGCGACTTTGTTGCAAACGGGAAAGTAAAACAGAGAAAACATTTTGATACGGCTGGCCGTAGTAGTTGCTTCCCAAAGTCCACATGCCTGTTTATAAACCTGTTGATATTATAACTTTAAGCCCCATCTTTGGACAAGAAAATACCTCTTAATTATGCTGTCTATACGAACATGTAAAGATGCTACACAAGTATAAATGAACTTAATCTTTTATATAATCATGAATTAAAGGTCACTTAATACAAAATAACCTATTCATAAATTCTTGCAACCTTTTGCAAAACTATCTCTAACAATACAAGTACTTATCTGAGCAACTAGATGGCGCTAAGTGTTGACAATAAGGTCCTTTGTCATACCTGGTATATATACAGTTATATATTTGTCTCTTTTTTTAGACTTAGATGATCGTATATGGCTACTGGTTATTAACCATGATGACAAAGAAAACTATGTGCACTAGTAATAATAAATGCTTTCATCAGAAATGTTAATTCAAAACGGTTTAACTAAGGTTCTCTTAAGCTTCAATATTTCAGACTACTTATGTACGGAAACACATCATGTTTAATGGTTATGGTTAAAACAAATGGAAATAAGATCCTGTAGATATCGTATTCATATACCAGCTTCTTAAAACAATTTTTCGTGTGCCGGTGTAACTGGTACTTTGCATTGTAACAAATGTAGCAAGTAACCAACCGTCTTAGCGGTGGTAAGTACACTTTTTATATATTAGAATGACCTTTGAAGGTTTTAGAGAGTCGCGCTCGTCAATCCTGACCCTTAGATAGTAAGAAACTTTACTGATTCATAAACAACAAGTTTTATAGAACAGAAAATGGAGTAAAACAGAGGGTTATTGTGACCCGGTCACAAGATTAGGAAGGACGTGATCTTCTGGTTCAAGTGATTGTTGTGTAACGCTACTCTCGTGTAACACCTAACAAACTGGTTAAAGTCACGCATCAAAAGATTGATCGAAAGGGTTCAAAAGCTGAAGATGTACAGGGATAACGTTGCCCTTCTCAACAACTGCTTATCATTCTCTAATCCATAGCTCATATCACCAGGACAACTGTATCACGCCCATTTCCCTTCTCTTGTCAAAAAGATAAGCAAGTTTCTTGAATAATTGCCGTGGAAAGTTTCATTAGGCTATCATTAAAGCTAACAAATTGCTATATGACGCAACTTCAGAACGTCAAAACCACAAACAATCCGTTTCACCTTTTGAGGGTTTGCCCCATAGATCTATAGCGATATATCTTTTTAATTGATAAATGTCCATATATATATATAAAGTTACATGTTGATCGTGTTGTCAGATGTTAGTTTCTATGATTTTCTAAACCTCTGACGAACATCAAAATACAAAACTCACAACAGTCGGAGCCAGCTCATAACCTGGATACCTAAATAGAAACTCACAACAGTAAGAACAAGCCGATAATTTCTTTACCTAAATAGAAACTCACAACAGTAAGAACAAGCCGATAATCTGGTTACCTAAATAGAAACTCACAACAGTAAGAACAAGCCGATAATCTGGTTACCTAAATAGAAACTCACAACAGTAAGAGCCAGCCGATAATCTGGTTACCTAAATAGAAACTCACAACAGTAAGAACAAGCCGATAATCTGGTTACCTAAATAGAAACTCACAACAGTAAGAACAAGCCGATAATCTGGTTACCTAAATAGAAACTCACAGCAGTAAGAACAAGCCGATAATCTGGTTACCTAAATAGAAACTCACAACAGTAAGAACAAGCCGATAATCTCTTTACCTAAATAGAAACTCACAACAGTAAGAGCAAGCCGATAATCCGGTTATCTAAATAGAAACTCACAACAGTAAGAGCCAGCCCATAACCTGGTTACATAAACAAAATCTCACATTGGTAGAAGACAACCAGATAATTAAAACTTTAGATACCGAAAGCGAACACTTTACAGATGAAGCTCATACTTCCTTATTCAAGATCAAGTACTGAATAATTATCGTTTAAACTTGCGTAGATTTAGTCAAGCCCCCTAGCGGCATAGCGGTAATTCTGTAGGCTTATAACTCTAAGAACCAGGTTTCGATACCCATGGTAGGCACAGCAAAGATAACCCATGTTGTAGCTTTATGTATAACAACAAACAAACAAATATTTAGTCACACACACACAAAATAAAACTAAAATATATTTGGATAAATAGTTACAAATACTTAAACAAATAATTTAAATATTTCTGCTTTTCAGAAAATCAAATATATTATCTTACCCTCGCTTGTAACTTCCCAAGAAGGGAAGCTGCTGGTGTCAAAAACTCCTCTTTAAACTTTTGGAAATCGCCGAAGAAGCGGCACAAAAGTATGTCCCGTGCTTGGCGTACTAGTGTTTTTTTCACTGCACTAAACGGGTGGTAGATGGCGCTAAGAGCTGACTGTGTAAGACGAGCCACTTCGCTTGGTTTCTGTGCAAATACAAATAAAAACAAATAAATAGAATAAAACAATTAAAACTTAAACCACCAACGAAACAATAAAGCCACAAACTGTTGACTTTAGTTTTTCATGTATTCAAATATATATTTATTTATTTATCTTCCTCTACGTTTCGTTACAGTATCTAATCAAAAACACCTTAAATGTGAAAAAAAAGTGCGGCCAAAGAAGGTCTGAGCGTATGACTTACATGAATGAAATCAAAATTAGCGGTCAAACTGGTAGCTACACTGTTATCATTGATAAGAAGTTTACAGCAAATATTCATTCATTAATTAGCCAGTTCGCGTTTTTCGTTCCACTTCGGGCATAATGGTGGGTAAAACAAAACACGCAGGCTAGCTAAGTAATGTACTGTACTGGTTACATTAATCATTCATCACTGTACTTCACTGGTTACTTTAATGATTCATCACTGTACTTTACTGGTTACTTTCATCATTCATCACTGTACTTTACTGGTTACTTTAATGATTCATCACTTTACTTTACCGGTTACTTTAATCATTCATTACTGTACTTTACTGGTTACTTTAATGATCTATCATTGTACTTTACTGGTTACTTTAATCATTCATCACCGTACTTTACTGGTTACTTTAATCATTCATCACTGTAGTTGACTGGTTACTTTAATGATCCATCACTGTACTTTACTGGTTACTTTAATCATTCATCACTGTACTTTACTGGTTACTTTAATCATTCATCACTGTACTTTATTGGTTACTTTAATCATTCATCATTGTACTTTATTGGTTACTTTCATCATTCATCATTGTACTTTATTGGTTACTTTCATCATTCATCATTGTACTTTATTGGTTACTTTCATCATTCATCATTGTACTTTATTGGTTACTTTAATGATTCATCATTTTACTTTATTGGTTACTTTCATCATTCATCATTGTACTTTATTGGTTACTTTAATGATTCATCATTTTACTTTATTGGTTACTTTCATCATTCATCACTATGCTTTATTGGTTACTTTCATCACTGTACTTTACTGGTTACTTTAATCATTCATCACCGTACTTTACTGGTTACTTTAATCATTCATCACTGTACTTTAATGGTTACTTTAATCATACATCACTGTACTTTAATGTTTCATCACTGTATGCTACTTATTACTTTATGTTTTAGTACCAAATGTTGATTAAGGCTTCATAGTTTTAGTTTTAAACCGTGGTATAATTATTGAGATGTTTCATAAGAACACTGGATGCGGTAGATATGCTGATGTAAATATTTTATTATACATCATAACAATGCTCAAAATAAGAGATATGATGATGGTGATATATTATTATATGCAGGCCCGCCGACAGGGAGGCAAAGGGAGCAGCTGCCCAGGGGCCCGGGCGAATGAAACCTGGTTATGCCGTAAAGCCCGCAAAGCATCTTTAGGCTATATCTTCATTTAATGATAAAAACCATAATTTTTGTTTTTTCTTTGTAAATAGACGCTTGATACATTAAGAACGACTGAAATAATAATTTGAGTAGTAATTAATATGTATTTGTTACTTTATAGATTTAATAGATATTTGTTGTTACTTTATAGATTTAATAGATATTTGTTGTTACTTTATAGATTTAATAGATATTTGTTGTTACTTTATAGATTTAATAGATATTTGTTGTTACTTTATAGATTTAATAGATATTTGTTGTTACTTTATTAACGTTTTTACGCTTATACTGTGAGGTAAAAACGGCTGCTGCTATGATTTTGTCTGATTTATGAGCTCGTTGCTGTCCTAATGTAGGATCTTCTTTTTAATAAATTCTTGAAAATGTTAAAAGAGAGAGAGAGAAAGGGGGCCCGGCGAGGACGTTCCAACACTAGGTATAGTAGACATGGTGGTATTGATATATCATTATACACTGTAACAATACCGGGTATAGCAGATATGGTGATCTTCATATACTATTATATATCATAACAACAACGGATGTAGCAGATATGGTGATCTTCATATACTATTATATATCATAACAACAACGGATGTAGGAGATATGGTGATCTTCATATACTATTATACACTGTAACAATACCGGGTATAGCAGATATGGTGATCTTCATATACTATTATACATCATAACAACAAGGGATGTAGCAGATATGGTGATCTTCATATATTATTATGTTTTTTTTATTTCACTCAGAAGTTCTGATAGATAACTATGCTTCATTACCTCGCTTAAGTTTATATAAAATAACTTTAAGTAGAACAAATATGTAACACTGTCGTATTATAATGGTTTAAAGTATTTGATCGATTTGTTTATTAATTATTATTATTTCATTAATCTCTTGCAGATAAATAAACGAATAATATAATCCAGTTTGAATCGAAAGATTAGTTAAAGACACTGAAATGAGATAACAAATAATAAAGTCTTTGGTTTCATACCTCACAGTCAGAGAGTGATAATTATAAATGAGATCGTATTGTACAGTTAGGCAGTCAGTTAATGTTGTTGAACATACCGAAAGTAGTATCAGATCCATGTCTTTTATTGTTTCGTTTGTTAGTTTGTTTTTTACGAAATTCCCCATCGTTGTGGTACGTGGATAATTTCGATTATCGTAAAAGTCGTAACTATTCCACGCGTCAAAACTAAACAGTCACGACGTAAGAAACTATATGAACACCTACTGTTTAACTACTGTACATACTCATATCCAATACTCAGGGCGTAAGAAACTATATGAACACCTACTGTTTAACTACTGTACATACTCATATCCAATACTCAGGACGTAAGAAACTATATGAACACCTACTGTTTAACTACTGTAC